CATAAATCGCGTTATAGCCAATTCGCGTTGACGAAACACGCGTTGTAGCAGAAATGACTGTATCGTATTTTAGTATGTTGATGTACAAAACATTTTCCTCATTATTCTATGATAAAACAAGTGTAACAAGCATTATTACAACTTATATTATTAATATTTATGTAATCGGGAAATACAACTACCATATCCGGGTTGACCGTGTTACAGCACCCAAGGAGGTACTGTAGGTTAAGGGCTCACTTACGGAATCCGCTGCCAAATATTTGTTTCGAGTATACCAATCTGAGACTGTATGTCCAGTTATGGGGTAAACAAAGAGAAACAGTCCCGTAAATGTTTTTGAGTATACGGCCCCAGGTCCCGGCAATGCTGTTAAGTCGAGGGTCAACCTGTAATAAATACTGTATTCACTGAAATACAAGTTCCTCAAACTAACAATTATATGGAAAAGGAAATTGTATTATGACAAGTGACAGGAATAGTGTCACTGGTAGCTCCACATATTGTACTGTACAGTATAAGGAAAGTAGGGCTACCAGTGTGAAAGCAGATGCAAGAACTTTGTACAGATTTTTTGCCAGTGTCATATTGTTTGACACCAAAGGGGTAAAAGTAATTTATAGTCTGGCTGTACATGTCATGTTTTCGTAAGCAATATTTGTTTATTATTAATGTTTTGCTTTGAATTTCTTTTTATTTCTTTTAGAATACAGGGAGTCCCTGACTTACCCGACTTATGAGCGCCCGCCGATATGAACGAGGTTCACAATCGCGGGACCCTATAATTGCTGATCTGACTTATCACAGTATCCTCAATTGTGACCCAGTGTACACTTATCACTGATTGACCTGGATTATCACGGAATTATCACAGGACAGCAGCGGGTCTGCAAGAACCAGTGGTAGCAGTGACTGCCAAGAGATGGCAGCACGGCTCATGGCGCCAGCTTCCAGTGACAGCATTTGTTTCCCCGCTCTGTTTTGGTTGGTGTTTGAAGACTGTTTCTTGCTCCACGTTTGTTTTTGGTGTAACTTTTACTTACCCCCCACCATGGCTCCTGTGAACAGTGTTCAGGTTCCTGATCCAGCCAAGAGACGAAGACGTGTGCGTTCTCTGGTTGAATGTTCCCATGTTCCCAACAAGGATAAGCATGCGCTTGGTAATACGCTCATTGCGTTTTACCACTTCCTTCCACTCCACCTATCTAATCAGCCCCGCTTTTCTGCTTCTTCACTCAATAATATAAAATTTATTCAACATAATGTGGAAGGAATACAACATTGGTCATTTATACTTACACTCACTTTTGTGGGTAGACATCAGCTGCTCAGTTGTGTCTGGCAGTGCTGCAGCCAGTGTTACCAAACAAACTAATTGACGCATCATCTCCTCACCACTTACCACAATCTTCCCCTCCACCACCAGCTCCATGATCACTACCTCTATTATCACCACCACTACCTCTATTATCACCACCACTACCTCTATTATCACCACCACTACCTCTATTATCACCACCACTACCTCTATTATCACCACCACTACCTCTATTATCACCACCACTACCTCTATTATCACCACACCCCACATCACCACCACCACTTATTATCACCACCACTACCCTATTATCACCACCACTACCTCTATTATCACCACCACTACCTGTATTATCACCACCACCACCCCATTATCACCACCACTACCCCATTATCACCACCACCACCTCTATTATCACCACCACCACCTCTATTATCACCACCACTACCCCATTATCACCACCACTACCTCTATTATCACCACCACCACTTCATTATCACCACCACTACCCCATTATCACCACATCACCCATCCCACTACCCCATATCACCACCACTACCCCATTATCACCACCACTACCCCATTATCACCACCACTACCTCTATTATCACCACCACTACCTCTATTATCACCACCACTACCTCTACATCACCACCACTACCTCTATTATCACCACCACTACCTCTATTATCACCACCACTACCTCTATTATCACCACCACTACCTCTATTATCACCACCACTACCTCTATTATCACCACCACTACCTCTATTATCACCACCACTACCCCATTATCACCACCACTACCCTATTATCACCACCACTACCTCTATTATCACCACCACCACTCCTATTATCACCACCACTACCTCTATTATCACCACCACTACCTCTTATTATCACCACCACCACCTCTATTATCACCACTACCTCTATTATCACCACCACCACCTCTATTATCACCAATAACTACCCCATTATCACCACCACTACCCTATTATCACCACCACTCACCCTATTATCACCACCACCACCCCTATTATCACCACCACTACCCCATTATCACCACCACTACCTATTATCACCACACTACCCCCATTATCACCACCACTACCCTATTACCCACCACCACTCTATTATCACCACCACCATCTATTATCACCACCACCACCTCTATTATCACCACCACTACCCATTATCACCACCACTACCCCCATTACCTCACCCACCCCTATTATCACCACCACCCCATTATCACCACTACCCTATTATCACCACCACTACCCATTATCACCACCACTACCTCTATTATCACCACCACTACCTCTATTATCACCACCACTACCCTATTATCACCACCACTACCTCTATTATCACCACCACTACTCCCATTATCACCATACCACTCCATTATCACCACCACTACCTCTGTTATCACCACCACTACCTCTATTATCACCACCACTAACTCTATTATCACCACCACTACCTCTATTATCACCACCACTAATCTATTATCACCACCACTACCCTATTATCACCACCACTACCCTCATTTACCACCACTCACCTCTATTATCACCACCACCACCTCTATTATCACCACCACCACCCTATTATCACCACCACTACCCTATTATCACCACCACTACTCTATTATCACCACCACTACCCCATTATCACCACCACTACCTCTATTATCACCACCACTACCTCTATTATCACCACCACCACCCCCATTATCACCACCACTACCTCTATTATCACCACCACTACCTATTATCACCCACCACTACCTCTATTATCACCACCACCACCCCATTATCACCACCACCACCCTCTATTATCACCACCACTACCCCACATCACCATACCCCATATCACCACCACTATCTGTCATCACCACCACCACTCTATTATCACCACCACTACCCTATTATCACCACCACTACCTCTATTATCACCACCACTACCTCTATTATCACCACCACCACTCCTATTATCACCACCCACTACCCCCATATCACCACCACTACCCTATTATCACCACCACTACTCCCTATTATCACCACCACCACTTATTATCACCACCACTACCCTATTATCACCACCACTACCCTATTATCACCACCCACTACCTCTATTATCACCACCACTACCTCCATCACCACCACTACCCTATTATCACCACCACCACCTCTATTATCACCACCACTACCTCTATTATCACCACCACTACCTCATTATCACCACCACTCCCCACATCACCACCACTACCCCATTATCACCACCACTACCCCTATTATCACCCACCACTACTCCTATTATCACCACCTCTACCTCTATTATCACCACCACTCACTCTATTATCACCACCACTACCTCATTATCTCACCACCCCATCACCACCACTACCTCTATTATCACCACCACTACCCTATTATCACCACCACTACCTCTATTATCACCACCACTCACCCTATTATCACCACCACTACCTCTATTATCACCACCACTACCTCTATTACCCTTCACCACTACCTCTATTATCACCATCACCACCTCATTATCACCACCACTACTCTATATCACCCACTACCTCTATTATCACCACCACTACCTCTATTATCACACCATCACCTCTATTATCACACCTACCTCTATTATCACCACCACTACCTCTATTATCACCACTACCTCTATTATCACCACCACTACCTCTATTATCATCATCTAAATCATAATTTCAGTGATGGATTTGCTTTAGCCAGGTCAGATTAGCACGATGTCCACTGTGCGATATCCCACCCATTTCCCACCTTCCCACCTCCCTCCCACCCACTGTTTCTCACCGACACTCTGCCTCTCATTCTACTATGACTGTCATTCATGATATATACAATATTATACAGAACTGTGAATTGTTTATTTGTTATTCATTAATTAGTAAAGATTTGTTACTAGAATTATATCTTTTAGAGTACGTACACATTTTTAGGGGTATATTTTGGTAAATTAGGAGACTCATCTTTGGGGTCGTGGGAAGAAACAAATTGTTCCCAGGTTATGTTTTAATATGTACGGTTTTGCTATCATGGTAGTTTTTTGGAACCTAACCCCTGCGGTTACCGAGGATATATGTACTTTATTTTATTTTTATTTTTTACTTTCATTTGTTGTATTTTGCAATTTTATTTCTTCTTTTCTCTTAAATTAAGTGATTTTAGATGTATAAAAGGACTTAGGATATGATATAGTTGGATTTTAAACATTGTTGTGTAAGTACGGTACGCACATGGCATGTGTTTCGACTTAATTTTCAGCTTAAGAGCGTCTTCAGGAACAGAACCCATTCATAATCCGGGGACCCTCTGTACAGTATACAGGATAGTTACAGTTTTCCTTTCACATTTTTTTTTTTTTTAGTCTGTTATGAAGGTAACAATGGTATAATTTATGAGATTAAAGTACTGTACAGGTATTATCTGTTGTGGTCCACACCTGATATACTGTACACTACTGTAGGTGTTTGATGCTCATCCACAACATGGGTGGATACTTATAGTTACTGTACAGCATTTTTAATTTGACGGATACTTGACAGTTCATGGTCCAGGACTGTACATGTCAATATCACCTATTTTTATGGTGCAAGTATTTATTGAATATTTTCTCATTTCAGAGAATAAGTTTCCAATATGCAGTGAGCTCATAAAGGTAAGGAAAGGATCTTACAGTTTTGTTTGGGTGAAGGAGAGAGTGTGTTGGTGTTGATTGTGGCCACCTTACAACATAGTGGCAGGAAGGTCACAATAGGGAAGACTCCTATACATATATAACTGACAGCTTTTGTTGATGTGTGAGTGGTGCAGAAACTTTATCTCTCAGTGCACCTGTATCAAGGCACACTACTGTACTACTGTATCTAGATGAGGCAGTTTTGTGTGCATAACTTTCCCCCTGTGACTAAATGGTTAAATCTTTCACTAAATTGACAACATTGTAATTTAGCTATACATTGTGGTCTGTACTGTAGTTTTGTATCTGTAGTATTGTGGCGCTTATACCTGAAATTGTAAGGGTAAGAGCATACAAAATACATTTATTATTCTGTCTTTATGTAATATACTGTACTGAGAGAGAGAGATTTTGATTTTGATTTTAACGGTTTATTAAAAGAGAAAGGGCATGGCAGCTAGAAGGCTGAAAATATACAGTCACATAATTGGGAATGGGTCACCTGATTAACAAATAATATACAAGTAACATAAGTTATACAAATATAATAACTAGGTGGGGAGAAGGTCATACTACCGGGCATTTCAACATAGTAACAGTACAAACAGGTAAGATTGACTGGGAGTGAACACACTGGTTGACTACGAGTTGTTGATAATATTTACAATGGTTGGGACTGGGCTGTTCTTATAATGATCAGTACTTGCTCATATTGGCTGGATGCAGTTGTGGTGCAGAAGCTTCTCAACACATTTGCAGATGAGGTCGTGGTGATGGTCAGAGAGAGCCGGGAGGGTCAGTGTTGAGCGCTTCATGATATGTGGGGTAGGAAGGGGAGAGAATAATCTTGCATGCCCTCTTTTGCACTTTTTCTAGGTGTTTACGTTGTGTGGCATTTAGGGACTGTACTCGTAAATCACTACTGTAATGAAATATCAACATCTGTAACAAGTGCACAACAGCATTAATAGAACACAAACTTTATGTAGACAGCAGACCTGTATTGTTGTTTTGAAATTATTCATCCTCTTCCCACTTCGTCACGGGGGTAGTGGTGTCATCAAGGTCAGATAACTATGCAGGGAAGGATGTGGGCAGCTCAAGGTCACTGCAAGAAGTTGAGGGCGTTGGCTGATCTGTTGACGATGTTGATGCTGAGGTTTTCTTAAAGAACATGGTGATGGGAAGTTGTTGTTTCTTAAGCTGCTGGAACATATTTTTATACTGAGCCATAAGTCTTGTAAGACCTCGTGAGAAGTTGCTGTTGCGCTCCATAGAAGGGTCATACTCAGACACTAAGTTTTTTAAGTGCTCAGCCACCTGAAACCCTTCACTAAACTTTTGTATATCCCAACATGCTGGCGCTTCTTGTTCTTCATCATCATCGCCACTGCCGTTGCCGCCTACTTCGTCTGCTCTCACTATTTCCTCCAACTCACCATCAGTCAGAGTTTCCCTGTGCTCCTTCAATTAACTCCTCGATTTCCTGCTCGACCATGTCTTCAAACCCATCACCGCCTACAGCCCAGGCCACCGTCATGGTGTGCTTTACTTCAGAGTCAATCGTAGGGAATCCTTTGAAGTCATGGACACAGTCACTCCACAGTGCCCGCCACTACGAATTAACTGACTCTGGTTTCAGTGTGCCCATGGCCTCCTTCACAAAACTAATGCAATTGGCAATGCTGAAATCCTTCCAGCATGCCATAACGCTCTTGTTAGTGCCGTCCTCCATGGCGTTGTGAATGTGGGCGCAGCAACTGAGACAAACAGGTGGGATGGCGGGGTGGTGCGTGTGGCAGGCTTGCGACCCATTTGAAAGTTTTGAGCTTGAAATTGGAAATTGTAACCTAACCCCTGGGGTAATCCGCTTATAGTTGAAACCCCATAAGAGTCTACTGTACAGGTAAAAAAATAACTGTCTCTAGAATGAATGGCTCCCTGTCCCGGCCGCGAAAATGCCAGCAACTTTAAAACTACCCGCAGACATTCTTGGGCTCATCCAGGGTGTCATCCACAAATAAGAGGACTATGAAATAAAAATCCGTGGATTATCTGGGCGTACTGTATTTTTACTCCAATACAATTGAAAAAAAATCGTTACTTGTTACATCACCCAAACAAACAAACAAGAAGTTTTAATGTCTATTTGCAAACTAATACTATATTTTCAATTAATTAATAAATTATTAACCATAGTAAAAGAGTTGTGGAGGGTATGGCGTGGGGAGACACCACGCGGTCACATACCTGGAGGTCTCATGAGGTGAGGCGAAGTTAGGTCAGGTGGCAGTGGCCATAACTGCGGACTTTCCCTTTGATCTGCTTGTTTCCATTAGCACCTTGACCACCCACCTCACCTAGCCTACCCTCTTATCCCCTCTCTTCTCCCCACCTTTCCATCAGGGCCTTGGTCTTCCCATTAGACGTCAGTTGCTCTTTGCATATACTGTACCTGTACCTGAAATTAATTTCATGGAGGCTGAGATTCTAAAATGCTTTACATTATTCCATCTTAGACATAAACCCTGTGTCTATACATGTGTGTGAGACTGAGCGTATTTAAAATTATGCTTAGATAACCAAGTACCAGTGCCCCCAGCACCCACCAGATGTTACATGGTGTGAAAAATTCAGCCACTCATCAATTAGAATGGAAGTGACATCACCACAGCCACACCCCAATTAGAGGGACAGTTCATGTTGAGTCTTAGTCAGACTCAGTCACTATGGAGGCAAGAATCATCCACAAACTCCTCGACTGAAGGAGCTTGATAGCTACTTGGCATGCCCAGGGGATGAAATGGAGCTACTGAGGTGTTTCCCAACATTATGTGACTTATCTCTCAAGCTGAACACCCCACTACCTGCATCTGCTGCTTGTGAGTGTCTGTTTAGTCGTGCTGGGCTTATTATTTATTATTTAATTAATTCATTACACCCCAGGGGGCGACAACCCTAGTCACAAGACCATGTGGTCAAACGTTAATATACATTTTTTATTTATTTTTTTTATTTTTTTTATTGGGCACTCCCCTACAGCCTTGTGTAAGGTGAAGCACAGAAGCATTTACAGCGCCCAACAGGGAAGCATGCTAAGTTCATGCTTGCCTTTATGTCTTATGAGTTAAGGGCGTAGAAGCCTGAAGAGTCAAGGGTATAGAAGCCTGAAGAGTCAATGGTTTTTATGTCATCAAGTTATTGGAAGCTCCAACAACTTGTCCCTGAATACGAATTCGCAACTTTCGATTTACACCAGGTACTTACTTTACTGCTAGGTGAACAGGGACTAATGGGGGCTAGGAAGTATGTCCAAACAACTTCCACCGGCCCGGGAATCGAACCTGTGACATCTCGTTTGCGGTACCACTCTACCACCAGCGGTACCACTCTACCACCAATATTGTTTGATTAAGGACAATGGGAGTTAGCATCCACCAAAGCGTGGGTAGATTACAAGAATTAACTCTAAATTAATACGTATAAGTAGGTGGTGACCTATAGTGGTTAGTGACTCTCCCTGAGGTAGGAAGTTCCTGACGGTGTGACAGTCAAGGCAATACAGTAGTGATGAAGGGTGTTAGTGTTGGGACAGTTACAGAGTTACAGGAAGAGAAGTGCGGGTCATCACCTGCCTCAGATACTTACCAGGTTGGTTATTATCACAACCTTAATGTGACCAGAGAAACATTATCTGCGGACCATATGTCCACATCGACGATACTTGTGTGGATAAGGAAGAAATAAATCATAGTGTTGGATGGATATATTTTCAGCCCGTTCACCATCCCTGTGATGGATTGTAAAGAGAAGAGAGGCTGAACGTATTCTCTTTCAGTAGGTCATGCTGGGCTTATATTTAGGCCTAAAAGATCCTGATTGGACAGCCATAATTTTGAGAATCGGTTACATACAGTAGAGCGTCGATTTAAAGCGATTCAATTTAAGATTATTGATTTAAAGCGACACCCACAATTAAGGACAATGTTTTAATTTAAAGCGAATCTTTCCTATTTTGCGCGAGTCAATCTTGCGCATCATATTTTAAATTTTGCGCCTAATGTTTCTCTGGGCACGCTACACTGTCCTAAGGGCAAAGCTTTACTGTACATGTACTCAAAATAATGTACTAAATGATTACGGGTACTAAAATTTTTGTCTAGTGCAAACTATAGCATGATTATATTCAAATTAATCACTATCTTATAAGAATTCCAGAATGTAAATTATATTCACCCCGGTCACTTCTGTGACATTTTGTAAACAAATCACAAAAAAATTCAATTTAAAGGACATAAATAAACAAATAAATAAATACTTCACTAGACCTTAAGCGCCAACTGTCAAACATGTCACTGTCACCTCCCCTCCCCTCCCCTCCCTCCCTCCCTCCTCCTCCCTCCCTCCTCCTCCTCCCTCCTCCCTCCTCCCTCCTCCTCCTCCTCCCTCCTCCTCCTCCTCCCTCCCTCCCTCCCTCCCTCCCTCCCTCCCTCCCTCCCTCCCTCCCTCCCTCCCAGCCAGGGTTTGGTGGTTATAGGCTTACAGTTTTTATCTCATGTAATATCACAGAATAAAGTTAGAGAATATAATTTGCATTGCTAGAATCCTTGCAAGACAGCGAATAATTTGAATATAAATGTCATATATTTTGCACAAGAGATAAAATTTTTTGCCCTTTGTAATAAAATTAATCAGAACTAAATTTGTATGTCTAATACGAACTAGAGCATGTATAGTATATTCAAACAAATCACTATCTTTTAAAAATTCCAGCAATGTTAGTTATATTCTCCCTTGTCAGTTTAGTGACATTTTATAAGAGAAAAACTTATTCACTCTTAAGGACAGATAAATAAATCTGCACTAGACCTTGGCTTTGAAAATTTCATGGCACTTGGCGCCAAGCTGAGACGCAGAAATTTTAATTACCTTATAGGATACAATAGCCAAACACCAACTAAGCGCTCTACTGAGTGAGT